TACTGTTGTGGAAATTATTATTCATACTGAGGAGACATTATCTTTTACAGAAAACCTGAATGATTGTACTTATTAAGAATCTGCTAAGAGACTTACAGGATTGGGTAAGATTGTATGAGACTGTATAAATTAGTGGTTAATGGATATGATAATATTATGTGGTTTATATGTTTGTATTAGTATTTCATTAGTATGATGTATGCTATTTTTATAGCTTATAGCTCCTGAGGAAGGACCTGAAGTCCGAAACACTTCTTGTACCTAGGAAAAGTGTTGAAAAGGATTGGACATCTGACTTCTGTAAAGTGTACCTGACTTCATTGTGGACACCCTTTCCAGATTGGGTTTCGGGAGACTGTTATTCTGGATTATATTCATGTATTGTCCTATGATGGATTACATGTTTTGCATTGTATTGTAGTCTCTCTTTTATTGCTCTTGGGTGGGTTGATCAGTACACAGTTGTTATTTGTTGGTTGTTCTTGGTCTTTGTTGACTGTGGACTGTATTGTTGTTGTTGTTGCACAGGAAGTGATGTCATCATTCCAACAACATCTGGGCAATGCTCTGGTATTTGGGCTAAAATTCTATGACAGGAGCTGTTTTTTATCATAGAGTTTTTACCCAAATACCAGAGCACCACAGGGAGGTCACAGCCAATGCTCCTTCTAAGCTGTGGAGCATTGTGAGCAAAAATTCTACTCGGTGAGCTACTGGCATTAGAGTTGTGAGCGAGCGATTCTGCTGCTGCATAAATCAGTTTGCTCTGGAGCCCCCCCTTCCTGAGCGAAGATAAAAATCTGTAAGCCGGAGGCTAACGAACTGTGAGCTAGCTCACACTATAACTCAGCTTAGAGGGAACACTGGTCACAGCATGATGATGTCACTTCCTATGCGATGCCAGCAAAGTGGCCTGGGCCTTCCCCTTTCTCCTGGTAAGTCTCCTCGCATCCCCTGCCAGTTGCCAGGGTGGACCTGGCAACCCTACCCCAAACTGAGAATGCTCCAGGAGGCATGCACTTTTGAGCCAAGTGTTCTCTACATGGAGATGGGGCTTGTGTGTATCCCATTGACATTCCAGATGCCAACGGATCACTCTGGCAATGGGACTTCCAAGTGGCAGGTTCCCCCACATTTTCTGTGCTCTGACACCCTGTGGTGGCCATTACCCCCTCCACACACACACCACCAGAGGGTTCTTCAAGGTTGTAAAAAAATAGGCACATTGTTTGCTGAGATATAAGGGGAGAGGCATATCTCCTCAAGGAAATGGGCTAGAAGCTTAGTTTTTAAGAGGGGAGGGAGCTGGAAATTCAGAAAACTTGATATTGTTCTAACAGTTTAATAATAAGTCAATTGCTGATTTTAAATAAACCTCTGGTGATGAGCCCCCTCTGTGGCTCAGTAGAAGAGCCTCTGCCTGGCATGCAGAAGGTTCCAGGTTCAATCTCCAGTTAAAAGGACCAGGCAGTAGGTGATGTGAAAGACCTCTTCCTGAGATCCTGGAGAGCCACTGCCAGCCTGAGTAGGCATTACTGACTTTGAGGAACTGATGGTCTAATTCAATATAAGACAGTTTCACGTGTGGGAGGAATGTCCACTGGGGGGGTGGGGGAGGGACTGGAGCAGTGTAAATGGTGCCAATGTGGGCAGGACACTGTCCCATCCGCCTGAGTGCCACCCCAGCTTTGCTATGATCTTTCCCAAAGCAGGTTTGGGAAAGGTCACAGAAAAGACAGGGAAACCCTAAGTGGTGCATGAATGTACCACAATGTTGTGGGGAAATGGGGGGGGGGCTTGCTTCCCAGTAGCCTCCAAGTCAGGGCAAGAAACCCTAGGCAAGTGACCTCAGTTAAAGCGGAGAAGTGACAAAAGGAGGAAATGAAATTGTGCTGCTGAATCCTTTAAGTGCTTATAGTATCCTGGAAGGTATTATTTGGGTTGGTAGATGGAACTCCCAGATCTCTTCACACTCCTCCCCACCATGATTCCTCACCCAGTTTGTTTCTTCTACTGGCAGACTTCATTATTAGATGCCCATCATGAAGGCAGTGAAAGAAGCTCAACCTCAAGTCAAAACTGAGTTTCTGCATATTTATCTTTTTTGGGGGGGGGAAGTAGATTAAAAAGGAGCCTCAGTCCCACCAAAGCAACCTGATGAGGACAGAGCATGAAGAGAGGGAGACGGGGAAACTGGAGAGGGAGATGGGGAAACCAGCCTACTCAAGCACTTCAGAACTGATAGTACCCTGGAGACTTCCCAATAATTTATCTCTCCTGCTCCCCCTCCTCCCACAATTCCTTGCAGGCCCCTAGCTTGTATGATTTGTTTTCAAAAAAATATTTGCATCATCCCATGATGAGGAAAAAAATGATACCTGGAACAGAAAAGCAGCATCTGACATCTGTTCAAGTATAATTCATAATGCACCTTGTCCATCTATATACACCCTCAGGGAATTCAGGGCAGAGTAGATGGGGAGGGTTGTTCACAGGGCAGATTCACAATGGCATTCAAATGCACCAATACACGAGAACTATCAATGTTGAGAATTGCTGTGTTTTGTAGTGATGGATTATGAGGTAATTTGGAAGCCCTGTTTGTGATGGTTGAACAATGACAGCTGTTTCAGATGGGCAAATAATCACTTCATGTTGCAGTCATGCAGTGATTTATTCCCCGTAACAAAATGAGGTAGAACAACTTAGTAACAAATAAAGTGTTCAATGACTATACTTTTCTTTGTGGGTGTGTTCAGATGGGCCATTTGAGCCAGTATACGTGCCGGTTAGAAACTGACTATTTACGCGCGATCACACGGTCAACATCTACCTCCCGTCCCCAGCCGTCGCTTTCCGGCTCAACCCCCCTATAAAGTGGAGTATTTTGATACCAGGTCTCCAAGTGGTGTTTTCCTGCTTCTCCGGTTCCAGCCGCATTTCCCCCCCTGTGTGATCGCTCCTCCGCCGGTGTAGAGCCACTTCCTGTACCCCGCTCAAAAGCTGCCCAAGGCTTCCGCTTTTTACCCGCCATTTTTATTTTATTTTATGCGTCGGTGATATGCGCTTGGGTGGAGCTTCACCCCGGGGTTTAATAAAACCAAAGTTTAAATGGTGCCTAATTTTGCTGTGTATACGAATTCGGAATCTCACAGAGGCCAGTTTCGGGGTCCTGTGCAGAATTACTCCAGTCTAAACACATTTGGCTTAAATTGGAGAACTTCCACTCAGGATTTAATTGTAAGTCCTACTGTGATTGTAGATCCCAGCCTTGGCACTTTTGGTTTTGTTTTTTTAAGAAAAGCAGGAGTTTGGAGAGGAGAATTTCCCAAAGACTTCCCATGCCTAAAGTTTTTGTACAAGGGCTTTGAATTCTGTTGGAGAATGCCATTTAGATGTGATATGGATCAGAGACACTGTGGTCAGGGAAAGGGTTAAACACCACTTCACTGCTTCTCATTGCCAAATCCCACCTCAAACACATACACACGCTGTGTTTCTTTTTAAAAACGTGCCACAAAATGTTAACCGTTATTGCTCGTGATGTGTGGTTAGACATCCAGACTGTAATGCTGTTATCTGAGTGATTGTGCCTGCAGTGAACTCTTAAAGATTTCAAGATATGGTCATCATTGCTGGATTACATTGACAAATGAGCAATAGCCTCCTAGATAGTCCTGTGTGTTTAGGAAGGTAATATTTCCTGTATCTATATGTGTGTGCATGTCTGAGTGCAAAACAGAGAGTTTTACCTAATGTGTTATTCCAACCTTAGCAGTATTTATTGCTCAGTTACCTAGGCACCTTGACTCTAATTAGCTCTTCCAGGCAACTTAAACCCCCCCGCCCCTCACCTATACGCAATATTTGAGGAAATCTATTTCTATGAATCTGAAGGAATGTACATACTAAGGGTGCAGTCACACAGTCGTTTTGATTTCACTGCTGTTCCCTCTCACATTTAAATTTGCTGATCAGATGGGCCAATCCACCTCCCGCGCTGAAGCAGGCTCACTCGCGCAACCCTCTCAGTTCTCTACCGTGTTTTCCTGCACCGGGAAAATCAAGTACTTTTCGGGTACTTGCGCTTTGAATCCACGATTTCACCGATCTAGGCAGCCATCTCTCGCAGTGATTGCCATTAGGGTCGTCTGACCGTTCTTTGCGCAATAAGGTTTTTTTTCCAGCTGCCACCTTTGAGCGCATGAGCAATCCCACGCAGAATAAATTCTATATTTAAACATTCAAGCGCCCATCCAGGGCAGGGCTCATGATCCTGCCCACCCCAGGAGTCCCCGATGCGGCGTTAGGAGGGAGGGAGGGAGCCTCTGGCGCCGGGGAGCTCGCCCAGCTTGCCAGCAGTGCTGGGCTGGTGGTGTGGAAAGTTGCTGGGGAGGGGAGGCGGGCGGGCAGGGATGGAAGTGCCGGGTGGGCTGGCAGGCGAGCTGGCAGCAGAGAGAGGGGCCGACTGCATTTAAACGGTGCCCAGAGCCTCCTCGTAGAATGCGAGGGATGTGTGATCATCCCAACCCGGAAAAAAAAATATTCCCGATTAAATTTATAGCAGGAACAAATCGCAATTACCTTGCTGTGCGACCACAGCCTACATCTCTCAGTTCTTGATTGTACCCAGAATTCAACTGTATTTGTCTTGTAGGTGCCATTCCCACATCTGTTTGTTAATTCTTGTATTTGTATGCTAATTTACTGCCACTCACAGATCTTTCTTACATCCAATCTCAGCTATAATCACCCAGTACTTATGCATCTTGACTGTAAACAGTCCTTCCTGACAACAACCCCCATCCGACCCCCTATATGTATTGGTTGAGGAGGTTATTTCCACTGTGTCTGATGAAGTGTGTTTGCACATGAAAGCTTATACTGTGAATAAAAGTTTGTTGGTCTTAAAGGTGGCACTGGACTCAAACTTTGTTCTGCAGCTTAAGACCGCCACCCCACCTGAATCTACCACAAATGTTGTTAGTTTTTAAGGTGCTACTGTACTCTTACTCTTTTCTGCTGCTACAGACAAACAAAACTACCCATCTTAACATATATGGTTCCTCTACATAGATTCCATACATCTGGTGTTTTACTTCCCCTCTGTATTGAGATAGAGAAATTATGTGGGCATCACAAATGACGGCTAACTTTTTTCGTTTTTAATGAGAAGTTGTGTCTTTACATAAATCTAACACATGATTTTCCTCCTGCTTTCCAGTTAAAGTCTATGCGATGCAACAAGAAGCTGACCTTTACACAGAACACGCCTTGTACTTCCTGTGCTGTAGCTAGCAGACTGCAGTGCCCCAAAGGGTGGGCGAGAATAAGCTTTGGGCCTACAGAAAAAGGCTGCAGGTTGGACTTCCTTCTTTTCCTCTCAGGTTGAAGCATGAATCATTACTTCCTGTTCTCCTAAAGCTTTTGTGCCAGTTCTCAACATTTTGTCCCAACATTATAGTGTAACCAAGAAACAGAACTCTTGATGGGGCTACATGGATAGAAATAGGCTTGATTCATTTTTTCCCCTTTAAAAAGTATTTGCGTGTGTGCGCGTGTGTGTGCACACGCTTGTGAGCTTAGCATGGATAGAAATAGGCTTGATTCATTTTTCCCCTTTAAAAAAGTATTTGTGTGTGTCTGTGCGCGCGCACGCGCGCATGCACACGCTTGTGAGCCTAGAAGTCATGGTGACTTCTGGCGACCCTTACTGGGGCTTCAACATTTTCAGAGAGGTGGCTTGATTGCCTGCCTCTGCGTCGCAAGCCCTGGCATTCCTTGGAGGTCTCCCTTCCAAGTACTTGCCAGGGTCAGCCCTGCTAAGCCTTTGAGATCTGATGAGATCGGGCTTGCCTGGGCCATCCAGGTCATGGCAAAATAGGCTTGATTCCTAATGGATGGACTCTCCAAGATCAGAGAATAGATTTTAGCTTCCTCTCTAGCAGTGTCCTGAGCCTGTCCCTCTACAGCTTCCCATGTGACAGCATCAAGGGATAGCAGAGTGAGGCATTGTCCAAGGCATGTGGCCTGGCGGGGTGCCCACTGTTGGTGTTGCCAACTTGCAGAGGTGGATCCTGGGGTTCTCCTGGAATTGCAATTGATCTCCCTCCAGACTACAGAGAGTAGTTCTGCTGGTGGAAAAGGTTGTTTTGAAGGGTAGACTCTATAACATCATATCCATGCTGATCTCTCAAGCTCTGCCCTCCACAGGCACAATCCTGAAATCTCCAGGAGTTTCAGAAGCCAGAGTTTATTATTTCATTTGGCTTTATTTCATTCAACTTGGCATCCCTACCCACTGCCAGCTGAGACCTAGACTCATTTCTTCCTACTAGCAGGGGCAACTTGGGAAAAGTCCCAATAGACTGATGGCTGGGGGGGGGGGTCTGAGTCCTCCCTGCTGAGGCCACCCTTGTCCCAAGCAGGTGGCGACCCTCGCCTCGGTTGGGGTAGCCCTCACAGTTGCCACTGCAGCAAGTCATTGTCCCTTTCCGGGTGCAGACTGGGCAAATAGCCATGGCAGTGAGAGAGCCACCAGCCCTTGTCCTGTACAGGGTGAACGAGCAGCCATTGCAGCCAGAGAGTTGGCTGCCCGCATAAGCTGCTGTCATGGTGTACAATACAACTGTGCAAGCCACCCTCAAGCCACCACCATGTTGAGAGGAAATCTGGCTTCCTGGGCTGCTCTGGTGAACAGCTGCCACAGCGAATGAGCTGGCTGCCTGAGCCATGCTGGTGAACAGTCATGGTGGCAAATGAGCCAGCTGTTCCAGCCACCTACGAGCAGTCACCACGAGCCTGCTGACTGTTGCGCCTTTTCCCCTTCATTGAGGGGTGGACCTCTTTCCGGGGCTGTTTTTGCCTCCCCATCTGCCCCTGCCCTTTAGGAATCAGAGATCACCCTAAAGACCTCTGTGATGTCACAGGGCCTCAGAGAGAGTCTATGATTTCATGCTAGGAAAGGGACTAGGAGAGAGGACATCACATGTCTTTTAGTCTTGCCTGTGCTGATTGGGGCATGGAGGAAAGTGAACATGTCACACTCTGCTCCCTTCTCCCAGGAGAGACCTTGAGCATGAGTTGGTGGCATGCATAGCATCTTCTCTAGAGTCCTCCAAAATTGGGAGCCAGCCCTGCTTGTAAGTGGTTACCATTGCAAGGAAGAGTAAACTGCTGCACTTGGGCACGCTATAGAGGAAAGGAGAAAACTTGCCCTTTACCATAACACTGGGTGGTCTGCTGCTGACTGACAGGGACTTGAGGCATATGTGTGCATGGGCAGTATGTTTCTATGTGCAGCATGCACTGAAATGCATTGCACCTTCCCTTGCAATATACAAGCATACCTCTGCCAGCAGCAGCCCCAGTAGACCTTTTCATACCCTCTCAGCAGCTGTGTATTTTTCCTCTGTAGGTACAGGAGAGGACTTACAGGGATATCTAGGCTGCGGTCACACGGAGCATTAGGCACGCTAGAGAGACGGAAGATAGGCGGATTTTCCGGGCACGATCTCACTGCCACATCTGGGAAGCGTAGAGCTCCCGTGGCTCACCCGAGGCTTCACTCCGAAGATGCGCAGTAAAAAACTAGTACCTCAGAGGTACTAGTTTCCGGAAACCGCAGGGCAAGGGCGGGCGCGTGATCGCGTTTCCTGTGGAATCCCATGGCATCCGGCGCCTGCCCATGTCCCCTCGCAAAAAATTTTTTTTCAAGTGTCCTCAGGATGCGCACAAGCACCCAACGGGGCATGCGCACACGTCAGTGTACAGGAAACCCCCCCACCCATTTGCCGCAGCACGCCGCTTCTTTGCCGCGCCGCAGGATTGTGGTGTGATCGGCACCTCCCCCCTACTATGGGACCTCCACGGGATGTCTGTTTGCGCAACCGCACATTACTTTGCCCCGGGGCAAACAGCCACGATTCCCCCCCCCCCCGCATTTTCCCTGCCCGTGTGACCGAGGCCCTATGTTTTAAGGTTAAA